CGACCCCTCCTTGGGTTTCCGAGGCAGTATCACTACAGAAGTAGGATTGCCCAACCTTCCTTCCGAGGAGTGGCTGATGGGTTTGAACCACCAGCTGTCTGGTTAGCAGGCAAGTGTCTTAGCCACTATGCTACCAGAGCTCCCCTGTTGTGATCCATGGGGTTTTCAGTGGTTAATTTTCCAAAGTAGATCACCAGGTCTTTTTCCTAGTCTATCTTAGTCTAGAAGCTCTTCTAAAACCTGTCTATCATGGGTGACCCTGCTGGTATGTAAAGCTGGTAGCATAACTTCCAACATGATAGCAACATGCACGCCACCACAGTACAATAAACTGACAGAAGGGTAGTGGCTTTAACTTTCAAAATAATATTTACTCATTGAGGAGGAAAAAAAGCACTAAGAAAAATTACCTATGACTCCATCTCCATGAGATAACTTTTGCTAGTATCTGTGTGGGCATCTTGCTCATGTTTTCTGTATCTGCATATATGCATATATCTGTGAGTGTGTTTTTTTACAATAGAATCATTTTGTATATACTGGGTTTTTGGGTGGTGTTTTTCTTTTTTTTTTTAAGAAATTAGTTACACAGTTTGCTGTTTCTTAGTAATAAATTTCAGATGCACGTAATGTTGCCTGTAAGAAGTTATATTCAAATGCGCGTATTTAGAGTAGTGGTTGTGAAACTTTAGCGGTTATCAGAATCACCTAGAGTAGGGATTGGGAACGTTTTCTGTGGAGCCAGATAGTAAATGTAGGCTTAGCAGGCCACCTACTCTCTGTCACAGCTACTCGACTCTATTCTGCCGTTACAGCACAAAGGCAGCCATAGGTGATAGGTCAACAAACGGGCATGGCTGTGTTCCATTTTGTTTATAAACACAGGTGCTCACAGGTTATTATTTGCCAACTCCTGGTTTAGAGAAAGCATCCGTAGATGTTTATTGCATGCCAGCTGTGTGTTCCAGGCACCTGGAATCATCAGAACAGAAAAGTCTTCTGCCCTTGTAAAGCTTACCTTGTAGCTTCTCCATTATTAAACAGTAAACATAAGAAATCTGATTTTATTTATATATATTTATATATATATATATATATATTCAAACCAAGCTCACTGCTGTCCAGTCAGACCCAACTCATAGCAACCCCTCCTTGGCTTTCCAAGGCGGTATCACTACGGAAATAGATTGCCCAACCTTCCTTCTGAGGAGCGGCTGGTGGGTTTGAACCGCCAGCCTTCTGGTTAGCAGTCAAGTGCCTTAGGCCCTATGCCACCAGAGCTACCATATATATATATTATAAAGTGATAAATACATTGTGAAAAACTAGAGCAGAGTAAAGGGAATGAAAGTGAGCAGGGAATCGTGTGTAATTTAAAATAGGATGGTGAGGGTAGGCCACATTTGGATGGTGAGATTTGAGCACAGGCGGGAAGGGGCTGAGAAAGTTAGCCAAGTAGATAGCTGAGGAACTTCATTCTAAGTTTTCATCACTATTACATCTTTTTGGCTAAATTTTTGACTGAATCCAGGATTTTTTTTCTTTAGATTTCTAAAAAAGGGGATCACTGAGCCTCTTACCTAAAAGCAGGATATAAAGAAAGATTTTTGATGTGTATCTGTCAGACCTTAAAGAGTACCGTCACCCCAGCCCAGCCTCTTTAGATACCTCTCCCCACCCCTTCCTTCTTTTCATACTGTGAATTGTGGTTCCAGGCTCAAGCACAGATATCAGTGAGGACTGGGAGAAGGACTTTGACTTGGACATGACCGAAGAAGAAGTGCAGATGGCCCTTTCCAAAGTGGACGCCTCCGGTGAGGTTAGTGGTTCTGGTTAGCTACAGGAAAGCAAACCAGTCGTCCCAGGGTCTAACTCTCCCCACCAAGCATAACCATCCCCTCAGAGTGGATCCCTTCTTTCTGAGGCTCCAAGCTTTGGGACGGAAGGTCTCTCTCATGGGCCCAAAACAGTTGTTGTCAGCAGGCTCTAGTTCTCCTCAGTGCCAGGGTGGATGGATGGGAGCGTTCCTGACCATAGCTCTCTATCACCTGAGAAACTACTTAAAAATACAGATGCCAAAACCCTGCCCCAAACATTCTGACTCATGGTCTCCAGAAACCAAGCAGATTCCTGGCCTTGGAGACAAAAGACCGCTGTGATCTAGGACAAGTCTCTTCACCTGAGCCTGTTTCCTTATCTGAAATATGGGATTGATAGTAATAAGACCTGACTTACAAGCTGCAATGAGGTAATGCATACAGACATGGTAGGCCTGGTGCCTGGCACGTGGTAAACATCAGTGGGCTTTAGTGGAAAACACCACAAACCCCATTCCACTTACTAAGCTCAAAGAGACCTTGTTACTCTTGTTCTTCATTACCTCCTAGAGTCAAGACAGGATCATTTTGAATAAAAAGCTGGAACAGTGCAAAGCTTACACAGCTAATAAGTGACAGGACTGAGGGTCCAGCCCAGACATCAGATTCAATTTACAGTGTTAGTTCCACTGTTGCACAAGGCCATGTGGTTCCTAGCAATCAGGTAATTCTAAAGAGGTGGACAGATTAGAGAGACGTGGAGGTCCTCAGTTTTCATCTTGGGAAACTGAAGCCTGGGGTGAGGTAGTAACCTCCCCGAGCATATTTTGCATCTGTGACCTCAGGATAGCCAGGGCAGGGAAGGCCCATGGCACCCTATCATGCCATGGGGTCTTGCTGGCATTTTGTGTCTTTGTAGCCCTTTATAGACCCTGACATATGTTGTACCCACGTAGAATCATTCTGGAACCCATCACACTAGACATCATCTGACAGCAGGCCAAGAGTAAAAATGAGAAGTTCCCCAGGACAGACTCCAGCTGAGGATAAGGGTGCTGGGGCCGGAGGATTGAAGACCTTGTGAGCTCACTGCCACCCTTGCCTCTGATCACAGTGTATCTCAGTGTAGCATCCACCCAGCAGGAGACATGTTTGCCTTAAGAAGTGGACTGACTTGCTTTCTCTAGGCAGGGCATCTCCTTGTAGTGTCTAGTGTTGGTGAAAACATTCATTCCCTTTGGATCTGAAGTGATTAGAGCAACAGACCCACCCCTCAGGCCAAGGACAGCTCTGTTTCCCAGACACAGCCCTAAAGACTGGTGGTTCAAGTCTCATACAGGGGCCAGGGGCCACAGCTGTTGGAAATAGAGGGAGCCCTGTTCAGCAAGGGGGGATTGGTTTGGGTTTGACTCAGAGGACTAAATATTTGTTTGTACTCCCCATTATCCTCTCCAATTTGCAGCTGGAAGATGTGGAGTGGGAGGACTGGGAATGAGGGGAGCCAGAGCAAGCAGCTCCCTCACCCACAGCATCTCTCACCTCTCGCTCGCCTCAGCCTGGCCCTGGAAGACCTGACTGAGAAATGTCCCCCAAATGGCCTTTGTCAACCAGAGCTCTGGGCACAGTTTCCAGGTTGCTCCCTGCTGTCTCTTTAGCACCTAGAGGGAGCCTCTGACCACACCTAGAAAGGGGCTCTCTCCATCCAAGCCAGGAACTCTGACTTCTGCCAACCATAAGATGACCTAAGGGGAGGAGACCTACCCCTCTCACCAGAAGAGCCTCCATTTCTTACTGAACACCCCACTGTTCCTGGAAACTCCTGCTGGAAAGTCTCAAGGAATAGCTCTAGCCCTTCTGCCTGTGTAGACAGAAGCTAACCCGCTGGTCTCGTGGAGTGAGCCAAGGCAGCACAGCCTGCCCATCTGTGAGCAAGCAAGGAGGCCATGCTCCCCACCCTTGGCTAGAAAGGGACCAAGAGCATGTTTTGGTTCCTGTCCCAGTGAGAGGCATTCATCTCTGGGAAATTTTTCTCTTGGGAATCTCTTCCCTAACCCAGGCCTTTTCCATTCCTGGAAAGATTCCTTGTGGTTCAGAATCTAAAGACCAAACCCTGAACTCCCACCTCCTTCCTTTCACCCAGCCTGACCCTGGTACGTCCCCAGGCCTTCCCAGGGCTTCATGTCAGATGCACCCAAGTCCTTAGCCCAGCTGTGCCACCTGCAAGAGTCTATTCTTGCATTTCGTCCCCTCCCCAAAAAGGGAGGAGGCCACTTCAGGCCCTTCTGTGCATTGCCTGGTGGGATACCTTGTCCAACCAGCTACCCACCTCGACTTCCCTGTAGCTTAGGACATAAGCCAGCTACCAGCGGTACAGAGCAGTGATCAAAGCCGAGTACTTACAATCTGGGAAACCCGACACTTCCACCTCAACCCTTCTGCTGCTTGAAGGGATGTGCTGAGGGTGAACTTTTCGAGACTCTCATCAGGCTTCTGAAGACAGCCCCCGCCTCTGTGGCGCTCACCCTCCACTCTGGTACATCTTGGGGGAATGAGGGGCTGCAGGATCCCTGGAGACTCTGGTGCTTTATGTTGCTGCTCTGGTGATTCTTGTACATAACCTGGTGTGCTCACCGGTGACTTAAAGGGATCATGGTCAGGGATGCCGAGGGGCGGGGTCACCTCCACTTTGGACCTTCAGTAGGGGGTGGGATGGAGAGAATGCAGAATCTTTTTTTGACGGGATGGGGTTTTTCTCTTTGTAATTATTTCTTTAGTTTAATTAACCTTTTGGTTGGTTGTGCAATATTATATATTTTAAATTATAATGCATCTCCCCAGAGTATTTTGTAGCCAGGAAAAAGAAAAAAAAAAAATTCTAACAGCTGTTAGTTTTGTAATTAAAAAAGAAAGAACTTTATCCCAAACCTTTTACAGACTTGCCGTTAACAGCATTAAAGAAACTCAGCAGAAGCTGGAAGCTGTCTGGGGCTCTGTTCTTGCCCCACGGCAGCTGTACCAGACCCAGGACAGGATGCACACGCTGTGCGGGGGTGGCTTCCAGCTTGCAGTGGGGAGGAGGGTGGAGAGTGGAGGGGGCAACTGGGTCATGAGTAGGTTCCTTGTCCTCATCCCAGACCCAGCTTGGGCTTTGGGATGAGGAAGGGACCTGGTCCCCAACAGACCTCTCACCAAGAGAAGGAGTCAAGAGGCTATGTCTGATTCCCAACACTTCTGTTTTTATTTGGAAAGGAAGTTGCAACAGCAGTGGTTCCAATCACTCTTGGTCATTTTTCTCCTCTCCTCTCCTCTCCTCCCCGTTTGTGTGCACAATTCTGAGGTCTATTTTAATGAACTTTAAACACCTGTATGAAAATCACTTGATAGCCGTGATAAAAGGGAAGTCTGAATGAGGCCCTTTGGTTCCATGAAGAGCTTTCAAGGGAAAGAGAAATAAGGCTGGGGAGGGTGGAGGTAGGTTTTAGGGTAAGCGTAAAATGTAAAATATATATCACCATTTTAGAAGCGAGTTTTTGAGTTTGCTTTCTCCCCCTGCTTTATTGGGGAGGACTTGCCATTGCTGTTATCAAGTGTTTGCTAGCCATGGATGCCAACTAATATGTTCCACCGAAGGCCGAAGGACTATGTCTGGTTCCAGGAGCCGCTTGAGCAGGTCCTGGCATTCAGCCGAGATGCCCAAATGAGTAGGGAAGGACACCCCCTTCTGCTGCTGCCACAGCATCTTGGGGATGTCTGTGTCGTCAAAAGGTAGGCTGGCACAGAGCATGACGTATAGGACCACGCCCATGCTCCAGACGTCACCCTTCTTGCTATCGTGAGGAATACCCTGCAGCACCTCGGGCGCGGCATAGGCTGTGCTGCCACAGAAGGTCTGGCTGAGTTCCCGGCATGACTTAGGCAGCACTTTGGCAAAGCCAAAGTCAGTCAGCTTCAGGTTGAAGCCCTGCAACAAAGCATTCTCACACTTGAGGTCCCGGTGGGCCACGCCACAGCCATGGCAGTAGCGAATGGCCTCAACCATCTGACGGAAGAGGGCCTTGGCCCGGCTTTCGGGCAGCGGCCCCCCATTCAGCACGCAGTCAAAGACATCCCCTCCCTCAGCCAGCTCCATCACCAGGTAGATTTTCCCGTCGGCAGACTCCAGCATCTCATACACCTGGATGATGTTTTTGTGGTTCAGGGTACGGACGATCTGGAGCTCCCGAGGCAGGAATTTCTGGATAAATTCTGAGGGAACAAGAATAGAGATGGGGTATCAAGTCCAAAAGGGCCTAACTCCTCACTCTTAATCTGCTTTCCAACTTCTCTCTGCCTGCCTGGGTCTTATTCTTGATTCCTTTTAATGGTTTTAAATGTGTGTCTAGCTGCTTGCACTTTGTGAAAACTGTTCATCTCTATTATTATTGTAGTTAATGTATTATTCAGTGGAACTACTGCCTGCCCACCTCAGGGACTGTTTTGAGTGGCCTGTAACATCATGGATATCAAAGTGCTTTGGGGACTTTTAGACACAGGCACTGAATCTCAGTTGGCCTGCTTTGCCCACTGGGTGGTGAGCCAGCCCCTCCAGCGCGGCCTCCTAACCCACGCTTCTTTCCGTGAGCCTCTTCTCCTCCGCCTGCCTTGGTACCAACTCCTGCCCTCTGCTGGTCTCTGCCCGCTCCCGGAACAGGAGAGGCAGGGTGGGCTCAGGTCTGCCTCTGAAGACCCTTCTGCAGCTTTACTCTTGGGCTTGGGAAGGTGTGATGCTGTTGGGCTCCCCTGCATTGTACAGCTCCCCACTGAGCTACCCCAGAGCCATATCTGGTCTGCTTTCTTTGGTTCCAGACTAAAGGCTGGGAGGGAACAATCCTGGCTGGAGGAAGGGCCCACCTGCCTCAGCCAGCCCTCCCTTCCAACAAAGGGGCCCCAGCTCACCTTCTGGCCCTCCCATCTTGTCTATAATTTTAATTGCCACTTTTCTTTGATGTTTTTTGGAAAATGCTTCTTTGACTTTTGAGTAGGTCCCTTCCCCAATGGTCTTGCCCAGCTGGTACCCATTGGAGAGCAGAAACTCCTCCATGCTGTCTAGCGCCTCCTTCCTTCCTATCACCCTCTCAGCTCATGCTGCCTCCAAGAGGCAGCTCTACTCCACCATCGCCCTTGGCCTGCTCCTTTTCCCCCCAAGGACTTCATCCGCAGTCGCCCCCAGCGCTAGAACATTTTCTGGCTGGACGCAGCCGTGGGTGGTGAGGAGGGAGAGGGACAGACATTTTTAAACTGCGGCCCAATTGTGATGTAAATGCTATGTGACCCTTAGCCAAAATGGGCAGTGCCCTACCTGCCCTCACCACTGCCACCAAACCCAGCACCAGTTAAGTCATGTCATGGCCGCCCCTCTGCCAGGCAGTGAGTCGCGGCCCCGCCTGGAGGTGTCTGCGTGCAGCCTGGAGTGCCCGGCTTCTCCACGTGGACGCAGCCTCGCTGCGGGTTGTCCTGGCCTCCTGCACCCCCATCAAGCCACGAGCCTTCCAGCTCCCTAACTCCTGCCCGCGCCAAGTGCAGGGACGGCCCGAGGTGGCGGGGGTTCCCCGGGGGGAGGAACGAGCTCTGTGAGGTCAGCGCGCTGCGGCCGGGGTCACAATGCAACCCTCCCCCTCGACGCCCCGGCCTGGACGCGCCGCAGACACCTGCCCGGCTCCTCCTGGACCGGAGCGTCCTCCCGCGGCCAGGCCTCGGGCAGCTGCTTCCAGCCTGGGATTGGCCTCGGCCTCCGGCAGGTGAGCGACGGCCCAAAGGGCGGGCGCGGGGAGGGGGCGCCCGGCGGCCCAGGAGCGGCCTGATAGCCACTTCCCGCGCAGAGTGCCTCGGGGCCCGGACATGAGTGCCCAGGAGCCCCCGCAAGGTCGGAGATTCCCCATTGAGGCTGGAGACTCTCCTGGCCTTGCCGCCGCCCCCGAGGCCCAGGACAGCCCGGAGCCAGTAGCAACGGAGCACAACCCGGTCAGGTAAGCCTGGTGCCCGCCCTCCGCAGGCTCCTCCTAGGGCCCGGACTCTCCCTACCACCAGGTGGAGGGACTCCCGCAGACTGCGGCGCTTGCCTGGGGCACCCTTGGCCCCAACCCCGCCCAAGGGCTCCATGGCCCGCTCCCGTCCTATTCTCCATCCCAGGGCCCCCGCCTGATTCGCTCCTCACATCCTCACGGAATCTCAGGAAACCCCAGGCGCACTTTCCCCAACTCAGCGCCCCCTGCACATCCTCCCCAGGCCGCTTCGACGCTGCCCCGGTTGCCACTGCCTGACCCTGCTGCACGTGCCCATCGACGTCTACCTGGCCATGGGCGGGAGCCCCCGGGCCCGCGCCACCTGAGTGCGCTGGGCACAGCGGCTCCACGGGAGCCGGGCGGGGACGAGGCCCGCGGCGGGCCACCACGCTGAGGTCGCGCGCGCCGAGCACGAGACAATGATGCACATTTTAAAATAAAAGAATGATGCACATTTTAATAAAGCACAGCATAAACTGTTCTTTCCACTTCGGGCTGGCAGTGTGAGTCTATCCGTCGGATCGGGTCGCCGGCTGCTCCGCACCTTCCTTTCCACTGCCCTCTGGCCTGGACGCGGCTCTCCGGCCCGCCCTTCCAGGTCTGCCATGCTCTCGCCCTGCGCCCCGCCCCGCCCCCTTTCTCTCAGCCCCGCTCGGGGCGGGGCGGGGGGGCATGCTTTCTCCATCTGGCTCTTTGATGCTTCAGGGAAATCCGCTTTACTGTGCTGGACGCAGGAGCCTTGGTGGCGCAGTGGTTAAGCTGCTGCTAACCAAAAGGTGAGTGGCTGAAACCGCTTGGCGAGAGGAAGATGTGACAATCTGCTTGGTAAAGATTACAGCCTCGGAAAACCTATGAGGCAGTTCTACTCTGTCCTATAATACAGTCGCTATGAGTTGGAATCAATTCGATGGCAATGGATGGGGGCTGGACGCTAGGGACCCAGAGGAACTCGAGACTGGAAGGAGGGGGAAGGAGAAGACAAAGCTGATTTCACATACAGACGATGGCCACCCATACCCCAAAAAACAAAAAACAAACCCATTGCCAATAGTTGACTCAACAGCGAACCTAGAGCACAGAGCAGAACTGCCCCACGGAGTTTCTGAGGCTGTCAATCTTTACCAAAGCAGCCTGCCTCACCTTTCTCCCGCGGAGCGGCTGGTGGGTTGGAACAGCCGACCTTCTGGTTAACAGCCAAATGCTTTGACCACTGTGCCACCCACCCATACCAAAACCAAATTCACTGCCGTTGAGTGGATTCCGACTCATAGTGAACTCTCCTAGGGTTTCGGAGGCAGTATCTCTACAGAAGTAGATTGCCCAGTCCTCCTTCTAAGAAGTAGCTGGTGGGTTTGAGCCACCAGCTTTCTGGTTAGCAGTCAAATGCCTTAGGCCCTAGGCCAGCAGAGCTCCCCACATACCAGGCCCATTTAATTCCCCCAGGCAGTGTTGGATTACCCGGTAAACAGGGT